ACACACACACACACACACACGCGCGCGCACATACACAAACACATGCCGTTACTTGGTTAGTTTGCCAACCAGGTTAACAAATTGTAGTATTTCTCCTTAATGCTGCCTAGCTTTGCTTCTTCATGAAGCTATTGAACTCAAGTCAGCCAATTTTTAAATTCAGTTGATTTAAAGACTTTTATGAGCGCGCATCTTCAAAACGAAAAGGAATAACTAAACAATTTTATAAAAGTTTGATCAAAAAAAAAAATAAAATAAAATATTTATTATCAGCTTAGGTTTAGTGTAACTAAAATTTGTCCAAAAATTCTGTGACAATCTTTTAAAGGAATATTTAAAATAAAAAAAACATAGTTCTTTGTCTAAAAAACAAAAAAAAAAAAAAAAAAAAAACCTGGACGATATATATTTATAAATAAGAATGAAGAGCTCACTTGTTTTTTCCTCTCTGATCTATTGTTGCAAGATATTAGTCATACTCTTGTAGGCTCTTTTCTGTTACTTTTTTTTTTTTTTTTTTTTGTTTTCTTCTTATATGTATAGATATTGCTTTTGCCTTATGTCGATTGCAAGTTGCATGTGAACCTGTTTGTTGGGTACAAACAGGATGTTTGTTACACTTAATACCAGTAATAGCTTTTGCAGACATAAACTATTGATTCATCATCGCTAGTCATCAAATGATTGACCCAGTAAACAGTGCTTGAATTTAAAGAGCGTGAATAGAAAATGTAAATTTGTTTAGCACGCAAGCAAAAATGTTACGAGTATGTAGAGTAAAGTCTCTTGCAATTCACGATAGCCGCCAGCTTTCAATTTACAATTTTTTGATTCTTTTTTTGATTTTTTTTTTAAGCATAAACGGAGAACCATCGCTTCCACTATCAGAGGTCATTTTTTTGTGTACCTTCGAGAATACCTAGATATCTATCGATCCATTTGTAGATGCATTTCGTAAGCTTTAAAACGGAACGTGAAAAAGTTTTTATTTTATTATAATCGGAAGTCGTGCCATTTCCTCTTTGCAGCCTTTGGTTGGAATTTCAATTAGAGTCGTAATTAAATGAAACTAAGCCTTTTTATGGATATACCCCATTTAAGTAAGCTCCGCCTGAATTCATCTAGAAATCTTCATTTTCGTTTCATTTAATTGTTAACTGCGCGAACTTTATCATTGTTGAATTATTGTGAAATTCTTATAAAAATTTCCAAGTTTACGCAACTTTATCGGAACTCGATTCCTCTTCAATCAGTGCAAAATTTAGGGCTTTGCTAAAAAAATTCGTAAATACTTGTAGCGTTGCGTCGATGTAGCGTCGATGTGACTACACAACCTGCACCTGCATCATCTCCTCTTTGCCCTTTGCCAAGTACTTTTGGTAGAATGTTAAAGATCTTAGCCAGCAATCAAAGAATGACTTTACTAGACTGTGTATGAAAAAGTATTTCGAAAGAGTTCTGTTTACGAACTTTGTATTACGTGTCGTCTTCAAAAAGTGGGCAACAAGTTTCTGACGTAGTTCTAAAAAAAAGTTAAAAGAATTATGGAATACTTTAGTTAGTTTGGTTTGAAGGACAGGGAAAGCGGATCAAACAGAAATCGTCCTACGAAGCACGAAGTTTGAAGCGACACAGATCTTAATCAACTTTGAGAGAATAAAACTGGCTGCTTCGGTAGCAAGAGAAATGTTTGGTTGCAGCTTGGACCCCTAATTAATCTGAAATAGGCATACGATTTTATCAACACTAGTGTCGTAGGTGATTTGAAAAAGGCTTTGAACGATTTGCTTGAGAGAATCTTTTATTAAGACATTTCCGTCTTAAGTTTGGCCGCAGCTGCAATTTTTCTTACTTGTTTCTACCGTATTGCACTTTTGTTTCCATGCCTACCGTATCATTTCTTGCATCATTTGACCGGAAATTAAAAAATTTTTGATTTTGAGTATTACACTAAGGCATAGCATAACATGGCATAGCATAGTCCGTTGGGAGAACTAAACTCCTCAAATAAATGCAAAGAGTACCCAAATATTTTACACCACACATAACGTGTGTTAAGGCTGTGTAAACTTTGTGCCCATAAAACACTCCGCAGGGCTTGAAATAGAAACACATTTTATTATACACCAACCGCTTCAGAATCGATCGGTCCATGTATCTTGTTGTGTGTTTAATCTTCTATTTTCTAGATATTTTCACGAACCAGAATGATATGTTTCAGCTCAAGAATCACTACTCTTGAGAATGGAATAATAATTGTAATGGATAAAATCATTGTAACGATCAATCGCCACATGAGAACATGCGACCGTTATATGAAAATCATTGATCACTTTTAATATTTCGCGGCAATAATCTGTGCAAAATGCTTTCTAAACTAATATACAAAACTTGGAGCGGACAAAGCCATGCTGCGAACAACGTCTCATATAGGCATACTTACAAAAAAGAAATTTTTTTATAAGATAAAAACATCGAATTTTTAGCAGCAGATCTAGCTTTAATCAGTTTATCTGAAATAATGATATGTCATAAAAACTATACTGCAGTAAATTTGGATTACCTAGTAGCACTAGTTTTTGTCTCTTTTTGTCTCTCAAGTTCTCGTAGAAAATAAAAATAAGCTTTTAAATAGCAACAAATTCTAATTGTTCATATTTTATGAGGAAACTTGGTTGCAGGCGAAATCATATAGGATACGTAGTAGTACGTAGTAGTGAGCCCCTGGCACAACTGGCATAATTTAATTGGATTTTTGTAGCAAACCGCATCCCTACTCAGGCATTTATTAAATTTATCGGTCAAGCAGGATTCCTGAACAGCCGTAAACGATTTTTATAATAGCTGGAGAGCATTTGGCGTAAGGTTTTTTTCTGAATCTAGACCAAGATTTTTTACTTAGAGATCTTGGTTGACGACGACTGCTTTCAGGTATTCGTCTCAACCTCTGTAAGAAATCAAAGCAAAAAATCGATTGCACTTTTTTTACAATATCGCTTTCGATTTTAATAAACGCTTTCTCTTCAATTCATTTAAGTTTCATGAAAAACTTATCTCTGCTTTTCATGAATTCCGACTGTTTTCACTACAAAACTCTTCTAATTAGTTCTCATCTAGTTTTGGACTGCAGGTAATTAAAAGAAAATTTTGTTAAAATTTTCTGATAGATTGAAAAGCGGCCATTTGTCAAGGTCAAGACCACAAAGGCCAACGCAAGGGGCCTGATATCTACTCTGTCAATATTCTGCCAAATCTTCAACAACAAGCGTTGAACGGAATCGAAATCTTGTACTGATTGGTAACAATGCCGTAGAAGTGCTTCGTCACGATCTTTCTAACTTTTTCTAATTGCATGGTGAAACGAGACCAGTACACTCTCTTCTCTTCTTTTCGATTTTGATATAGAAATCTCGAATGTACGCTTCTTAGGTTTTTATAGAAAATAATCTCTAATAAGGGAATACTCGAGTAAAATTTTAATACAGTGACTAACTGAGATGTGCATAGCACATAATTGAGAGTTTATATTATTTGCGTAATAAGGTTTACGTCAAAAAAGTAATAAAAATAAGAAAAATTATTATTCACTAGAATTTCAGAGAGGTTCGTTATATTCTCGCTTAACAGCATTAGCATTCACTGTACCGCTATTTCATGCTAAGTTGTAATGAGTAGTGAAGCATGCCAAGCAGAAGGAGAAGAGAAAAAATGCAAAATAAATAAAGAATAAAATAATAGCCGACTTTTAGCTATCAAGTAAAGTTAGGCTTGACTATCATCATCTCTTCGTGGTCGTTGGACTGGTTAGGTGCTTAAGTTGATAATATGATGCTAAAATATTTACGTTGCCAAGTATATGGAGCAAATAAACTATTCTCCATCGTATATCGCTCATCTATGTAATAACATACAATATTATTTCCTATCACTTGTACGTATAATAATCATACATACAATTTATACATTTCTAAAGAGAAAATATTATTAAAGTCATTTAAAACGATTTAAGTGTAAAACGCACTTAGGAAAGCATTCATTTTCTTTTCTTTTTCCTTTTTTGAACACCACTATAAACATTAGCTTGGTGTTAACTAACTAACAGCATCAAATTTATTGCAAAAAAAGTTAAAGTCTGAAGCATTTGGTTTTTTGTTTTTCTGTTTTTTAAGCTACAAACTTTTTAGCAGCGATACATAAGGAAACTGTATCTCTGGCATTGGTTGACAAAAATAAAAAAATAAAAAATCTTGTAAACTTTTCTTTCGCCAACTAAACCGATTAAGTAATCAGCTTATAAAAAACAAAAAAAGAAAACTTGAATTGTTTGACATATAAAACCAAATTTGTTTATGTAACTTTACTTAAGTAGTTGGTTGTTAGTAAGCCGGTTAGTGGATAAAAATCTAATTAATATTATTAACGGGTAATCTCCCCAATGGACGACATAATTAATTTTATCATTAAATTTCACCAAAACTGAAACGCATAGATATTCAGTAACGGTAATTGCAACCACGAATATGCTGTAAAACAGAGTTGCAATTAAGAGATCCTGAAATAGTTGAACACATACGTTCTTTGATTGAGACTGATGAGAATGATTATTTCAGCAATATTAACAAAATTAATTTCTCTGTCAAATACTACCAATTAGAACTAGTTGCATATAAAGACTTACTTTTCATAAGAACTCTTGTACAGGAGGAGGTTTCCATCTATACAAGTTAACTTTTGAACCAATTTTCTATCCTTAAGAAAATTATTTTTCTTTCCTTATAAAAGCTTACTTTTTGCGAGAACTTTTACATGGAAGAGGGTTTAAGCCATGGCCTTATTCCACCCATATTTTCCGCATTTATTTTTTATGCCAAAGCAATTTTTTTCGTTGACAAGCATAAAAAAGCGAAATTTTCCTTCATATTCGCTGCTTTTTTCAGGTAGGATAAGTAGTCGTGGAAAAGAATCTGATTAATGCATATTCAATAGCAAATGTGTCATGTCAAACGCATCTCGCTTGACCAAATTTTAGTAAAATAACTCACAAATTGTACATTGAACACAAAACAGACCGACAGACGGACACACTTTACTCAATTCAGGAAGTGATTGTGAGTCGCTCGACACTCGAATCTTTCCAGGTCTTGGTGCGCAAGAAGTAGATAAACGTTTGATAAAGATGATGATTTATTCTATCGCTATAATCGTTGATAAACGTGGATTAATCTCTTTCTTGATGACGATCTGAAGTTCACTTTTCCTTGAGTTATAGTATTCCATTCTCATATCACAGCGCTTTTCTTTTCTTGTCAGCGCAACATTTTGCAATCTAGAATCAACTGCGACTTTTTTCGCCAGACTTTAAGTTACTTGCCTATTAAGAAGCTAATCACGTCTTTAACGAAGAAAAATTCGAATGGGAAAGTTGAGTCGTTTGCGGGCGTTGTTGAATTGTACGGTCTTTGTTGATTAATTAGGACTTTCGTCCGCAAGTTGAAACCTCTAAAGGAACTAAAGTTTATACCACAGCTTAAAAGCGAAGAGGAAACGTGGTTTGTTGCTATCAGAAGAAACAAGGATGTCTTTCGTCTTTTCAATCCGCATTTCTTTTACCTAATCGCTCTCGTTCCATTGCTTCTGTTATTCCCACCCTTTTTTTTCTTAATAAAATATTTTAAATAAGTTACTATAAATAAGTAGAAGCTTGGAATTCTATTTAACCGTCAGTTTTTCGATTTGTCTGATGCATACTCTGTCAGCCTTTTCTTCCTCTTAATGTTTACAGTTTCCACACAGCAACGAGCAAAGTATGCAAATAAATATAATAACAAAAAGTAAACAGCTATGAATAATCCCCAAATCGGGATTTAAATTTATCCTCTGTCCACTATCTTTAATTTTCTTACTTAGAAATGATCTTTCTGTAGAAAAGCAAGAACAATTTAAATAAGTAAAATGAAAATTATCGATTTGCAAAAAAATCCATTTAAAATGAAAATAAATCCGGCACCAGTTGACGCACGCTCTCACAGAAGCTGCTTTCGAGCTAAATTGATATTTCGCTGGAAAACTTGGGTATTGTTGCGAGTTGAAAAATCTCTCCTTAATTTTCCCAAAATTGAAAAATATTATTTAAAAATTGTCTTCTTTTCAGGCTGAACTTGCCGATGTTTTGCGTAAACGTCGCAATCGCCCCGACGCATCGGATGAAGATTTAGGTTTGCCTCGTAGTCCAGTATCACCGCAACGGCGATCCACACATCATGCAATTGCCGATAAGCCAGATCTTTATAAAACGGCATCAAACGAACAGCAGAAGTACGGGACTTCGACGGGTATTCAAAGCAATCAAAGCGAAGTCTCGTCTATAAGTTTGTTAAGCATGAATAGCGCTGATGGCGACGATGGTTTTGAAACTAATAACTCTATGATGACACTTACAGCGGAAGTTTTACCTGATAGTAATGTTAACGTTGATCGGTATCCGCAATCTCCCGTGACATCGACCCTGACGTTGAGCTTCGATATTTTGAGGCCTTCAAGCGGTAATAATGGATTAAATAATAGTCACGATGATGAAATTGATGCTTGTAATGGAGATCGTCACCGTTTGTCGCATTCGGCAGCCAAACATAAAATGGCTGTAAGGCCTACAAAGCGAAAGGGACCCAGTCGGCAGCATAGAAGGACATTAGAGGTACATTTTTATCATCCGAAAATTAGAGTTGTGAGATTTTAGCAACTAATCACAACATTTTTTAGAATTGTATACCCGAGGCCAATGAAGATTTAAATAAGTTTGCTAATTGTAGTCCATGGGATGTGAAAGGTGAGTCTTCTCAAATATTTGTACTTTTGTTCAATATATAATAAATAAATTTTTTGATTTAGATGCGGATGATAAAACAAAGTGTAAATCACTTCCCCTTAAGGTAAATGCAAATCTCTTGGTTTTGTATGCCGACGAAGCTAAACTCACTAGCAACACTGCCTCTGAAGAAACACTTAAACCTGTTCCTAGTAACCTTCTAAAAAGTACCGTTTCCACGTCATCAAATCTATTTAGCTTACGTTCATTGACCGACACAACTTCAGCCATATTTGAATCCAAAGAAACTTTGCAATTGGAAGAGGAATCTAAAGGATCGGAATTCTTAAAGAAGTCGGATATACCTCAACAAAATCTAAATAACTCGGAAACGGCAGAACCCGGTTTTTTGAAATGCTTAGGGCGCTCTAATGGAAAACGGTCCATATCTAAGGTTCAAGAAGAAGATTCTCAGGATCAGAAAAATTTGAATATTGAACAAGGTGATCCGAAAAAATTGCAAATATCGACATCTTGCTTCGAAACAACTGGCAACAATATGATAAATATTAATTCTGGTTTAGATAAATCGCGCAGTGAAATTTCTTACGAGAAAAATGTCGAAGAGAAGCGGCGAGAGATCAAGAGGGAGATTCATTCTGAGGGCAAAATCGGTTTGAGTGCTATGCTTAATAATTTCGCATTGCCGTTGACGGACAAAAATGCCTCCAAACCTAAATCTGGGCCGGCCGCGCGACAGCGATACATGCCGCAGAATATTAGCAATGAATCGATTTGCAGCTTAGAAAAGCAAATATTTAGCGAAAAATACGTACAACCTGGAGAGCCACCGCTTCCAAAATTGTCTATAAATGAAACATTTCAATCAACTTCCATTATTAAAGAAATTACTTCAGCATTGCAGGCACCCGGCAAACAAGATTATCATTTCGAAAAGAAACCCAAGATTGTCGGTTTATCAGCATTTCAACAGAAAATCTCTCGTTCTACAGATCAGTTTGGCCGTGGATCTAGCACTAACGTGTCTCTCAAATCATTTGAACGATCGGAAGAAGAAATATTTTGCCCTTCGCATACCTACATTCAGAAGCAACGTAAATCGGTCGAAAAATCGAAAAGTTTCCGAACATACGGAGAAACCAAAGAAAACGTATCGTCGGTTCATAATAATATGCCGAGTTTGCCCGATTTATCCCTAAATATGAAAGGCCCGTTTTGCAAAGATTTTTTTTTCAATGGCAAAGAATATTCCTCACCTTCACCACCCGAGCCGATGGACGGTGATCATCGGTCATCCCTGGCTTTTGAAATTAATGACAACAAATTGATTAAAGGTGACGGAGAAAAGCGCCGATCATACGGTAACTATGACAAAAACATTATATTAACAACAACATCCGCCAACAGCAAATCTTCGCCCACCAAACTGCTAACACCGTCAGCTGTCGTTAGCAATTTATCACTTTCAAATATTTGCAACAAAAACATCACTGAAATCGAAAATAATATTGATATAATTGTGAAATTACCCTGTGTTAGTGTTATACGTAAATCGATTATCTTGGACGAAGAGGAAGAGCAAGTTAATAATATGATAAAAACAACTGGGGAGCAAAAGAAATCAACTGAGCGGCCCCAAAGCCGACCAGATGTTCTTAACTTAACTAAAGAGAAGTCGGCTAGCGAAGATATATTGTCGATGACGCATTCGAACGGATCGGTGGTACTACGAGATAAAAGCTATTCGATTAAAAATAAATCAAACTTTGCCAAGGCCAATTGCTCTGATATCGAAACACAAGAAACTGATAGAAAATCGGCTCCAGATATAAGCAACGGTATTAAATTGACAAAATCGTTTACACGACGTACCAGTTGCGCAATGGAGGGTTTAGAAACAGATAATGCCTCTGTACCGGAATTCATGAAAATACAATTGAATCGAGTCGATCCCGCCAGAATATCGAAAAGTCACGTTGTATTGGCGAAAAATTTCCGGGAACCGAAAATTCCTTCTACGACAGCCAGTACTCCGGAGAAATCTTGCAGTACTGATGACTTAAGCTTCCGACGCTTAAGCAATGAGAGCGTGGATATTAATGAAAGAGATTCACCGGAAAGTGATAATCGATGTTGCGTTTATTATCATGAAGCAATTAATCGGCAAGCTAAAAGCTCTACAGGTTTGCCGCCAAAATGTCCCAGTAAAAAGTCGACACCTACAACGCCTATTACGTCACCTGTAACGGGTTTGGAAAATCACATATATGAAAAAAGCAGAGAAGAAGGTAAACGTTTTCATGCACTTAATACCGATGAAATAACAAACGGTAATCCTTTGTCTTTAAAAGAGAGGCGACGTTTGTTCATGCATGAAGAACACTTCAAGAAAGATAAAAGCCAAGAAGAAGAACGCAAGAAATCCCTTCCAAGCGAATCTTTATCCAAATACGAAACTAAGAATATTAATAATAATCACAATGCAACCAAAGAAATATTAGATAATACGGTAATAATACGTAAAAAATCTCTCATCGCCAATACTGCTAATCACACGCATTCATTAAATAATCACACCGTGAACAATAGTAACGGCAATTTCAGTAAAATTAGTCGAGATGACAGTACACCTGAATTGATGAAAGTGTTTGCGCGAAGATCGTTGAAAATCAAAGACGAAGATATTGATAAATTGATAAACGCGACAGTAAACTCAAATACAAGCTCACAGTCATTCATTCAAAACAATAAGAAATATCAAAGTGCCAATATACCTAATGTTGACAGCGATAAGGAAAATCAATCGGCTAGTGAGGAGAAACTTGATAAATTACCGAAGCTATTGGATAAAGATACCATAAGCAATACTCAGGCAAATAATTCAAATAATTCGAGTATGAATTCGAGTAGTACTAGTGTTGCAATTATACGAAACTCTTTGGGTGATTTTCGCTCATCGCCGAAATCATTAAATCATGGTTTAGTACTCAATAACAATCACAACAATTATAACGGTAACAACAATAATAATAACAATAATAATAATAATAATAATAGTAATAAAAATGCATCAAATATCAGCAATGGCTGTCCACTGGGACAAGGGATAGTCAAAAACTTTCTACCACCTGTTACTAAAACAACAAATTTTCGTAACGTACCTATTGAACGTAACAATAATTATCACATAGGAGAGACAATGGGTATAAAATCCACCGCATCTATGGACCGAACAGCAATAAGCCATAAGATAACTGAAAATATGGGATGTATACATCCTAATGAAATGTCTGTAACCTTGGGATCTAAAACAATCGAAAGATCAGCCACCGTAGGGGAATTCAAAGGTATCCATCAGAGGCGCGCCGAATGGGAACGAAGGGCTAAAGAAGCTTTGAAATAGAAAACTAAGCTTTTTATGAAAAAAAAAAACAAAAGCAAAAACACAAAAAAAAAGCCTAATAGTAGAGAAACTTGTCTCGATCATCTAAGCGCTTTACCGCCTGTTCTCCAGAATTCTACTTCTGAAGCAGAATAATACGAGCTTTATTAGACAAACTATTGAACAAAGTACCAGCATTTATAGTTTACACTTAATTTCCGGAGTTATATTTCCGTTTCTTATTTAAAAATTCAAATAATTTTTTTTTTCTCATTTCTATCCGGTTTGGATGTTTTTTTTTTCCTCGTCCTAATACTTAAGATTTTAAAGGTTTAAAAAGCGATCACTAACGAACACCAAACTTACATTAACTACCAAAATAATCCTTTTCATCAATATAATTAAAATTTATTGTAAATATTAAATTTATTTAAAAAAAAGAAAAAAAATTATAAATATTAACAAAAAAAAAAAAAAAAAAAAAAACAAATTCTTGAAAACATAAAAAATGTATTTAAAAACGAAGAAAAGCAAGCAAACCTAATGTGGGAGTACATTTTACTTTTTAGAGAATTTTAATGGAAAAACGATAAGAGAAACAAGAAAATAGTTGAAAAGCAATTAAATATTAACAAAATAATAACCAATCAAAATTGTTTAGCTAATATTTGTTGGAGGAAAGAAAAGAAAAAAAAATAAACTAAATAAACAAAAGATGATTTCAAACGTGATATACAATTGAAAGTGAAGGGGAAAGCATTTAAGAAAATTTGACAAAATTTACTGACATTTCTTTTTCTTTCTCATCTAATTAATTACTGGAATTATTAAATGTACCTTCTTAGCCGGTTAATTAAATTAATAATTACGGTACAAAACTTTCAAAAAAAGAGAAAAAAGAAGAAAGAGTCCAAATTAAATATTGTAAATATTTTTAAATGCTTTCTAACACATTCCAAGGAACTTTTGCAAACAATGTCTTCGAAGCATGAAAAGGAAAAAGCAGAGAAATTCAAAGCGTGCAACAAGAAATATTACCCATTTCTTTTCGAAGAACTTGAACAATCTTAACCCGAAAAAAAAAAACTTGTTGTTCCGAACAGCTTCGATTATACCTTCAAGAACTGTGACCATTAGAAGATAATCATACATAATAATATTTATAGTTTTTTTTTTTTTTTAATTTAACCTACTTGAATAAAAATTGTACTCTTCATAAAATTCATTGCTTCTTTGCAAACAAAAAAAATTTTAAATCAAAATAAAGGGAAATTAAATTTCTGATATTTGATTATAATAAAATAAAAAAAAAAATAATGAATATGTCTTTGTCTTACAGACGGCGAGCCCATACCTTGCTCAACACTCAAATTTCCCAATACCCCAAAAAAATTAGAAAACCTACAAGAATTCGATTTTTTTTAAAAGCGTTATTGCACTGCATCTCTCAATGAAGAATTTGACAATGTATACTCAATTTTGATACTTTATCAGGATTAAAAGAAAGGCTGCGGAGAATGCACATGAACAATTTGGCAATCTTTACTGGGTTTTGGTGCTATTTCAGCATTAAAGAAAAGGATTGGTGGTTTACTAAGCGCACTTTCTGATGACCAGAACAATTGCCTTCATCAACCCATTTATTAATACAAGGTTTTCATAGTCCTGACGAGTATCTTATTCTGAGCGGCCTTCCACTGCATCCAGCTAAGTGCAGTGCTGCATTAAGCTCAAAAAGCCGTATTCAGCTAAATGCAGCGCTGCAGCGAATGCTATATTCAGCTAGGTTCAGCACCGTCGTTGTGTGCAGCGTTGTATTCAGCTAGCGGATGCAGCGCTGCATTCAGCTAAGTTAAGCGCTGCATTCAGCTAAATGCAGCACATTCTCTAAGTGCAGCGCTGCATTCAGCTCAAAAGGCCGTATTCAGTTAAGTGTAGCGCTGCATTCAGCTAAAAGCGGCACAATCTCTAAGTGCAGCGCTGCATTCAGCTGAACGCGCCATATTCACCTAAGTGCAGCGCTGCATCCATGTATGTGCAGCGCTGCATCCAGCTAAGCGCAGCGCTGCATCCAGCTAAGCAGCACATTCGCTAAGTGGAGCGCTGCATTCAATTAGGCGCTGCATTCAGCTAAGTGCAGCATATTCTCTACGTACAGCGCTGCATTCACCTGAAAGCGCTGTATTCAGCTAAGTGCAGCGCTGC